ATTTTGTCGATACAATTAATTTTAACATTAAACATATGTAACAAAGAACGTTAAAAATATCGATTAGTAACTAATTTTCGATCGCAATATCGAATATTCGATTTCTTTTTGTCGAATATTTTATGAAGTTCTGAAAAAATAATGTACAAGTTTTATTTAACGATTTATTTAATTTTCTCGATAAAATTAATTTTAATAATAAATATTTATAACAATGAATATTAAAAAATGTCTATTAATGAGATTTTAAAATGGTTTTTTTGAAAGCTATAATAAACTTTCTATATCCTCTTTTGAAATAAATTCCATGCAAACATCTTTTATTAAGATATAAATTAAAGTTTTTGACTGTGAATTACAACTTTAAAAATGCATTGAAAACTTCATTCCATCGAATATTTTGATAAATTTCCAAAAATAATAAAGTACAAGTATTCCTTATCGATTTTTTTAATTTTGTCGATACATTTAATTTTATCAATAAACATATGTAATAATGAACATTAATAAATGTCGATTATTGAAATTTTAATGCTAATAAACTTCCCCATTTCAAATAAATTCCTTGTAAACATCTTATTAAGATGGAAACTAAAGTTTTTGGCAGTTAATTGCAATTTTAAAAATGCTTTAAAAACTTATAATATTCGAATTCCTCGTCTTATCGTATATTTTTATGAATTTCTGAAAAAAATAAAGTACAAGTATTCCTTATCGATTTTTACTTCTTATTTAATTTTGTCGATGTAATTAAATTTAACAATAAACATAATTAATAATGAGTATTAAAAAAGTCGATTAATGAAATTTTAAAGCGGTTTTCAAAAACCTTTTCTTTTATTTCTTACAAATTTAATTTTTTTTAAAATATCAAAATTCAACAAAGTTTAAAGTAAATAATCGCAGACAAAGATTCTTATAAAAAATACTCTCATAAAAACTATCAAATAGAAGCCCTTTTATAAGAATGTTTCAAAATATGATTCGAATTTTCGTACTGAGCAATCAATAATAGAAAAATGGAAGATTTAAGTTATTCTTTAGAAATTTCTTTGACTTTCTTGTATGAAGTATTATATTTCTTATTTGGCGTTTAAGAATACTTCATATTTGGTTTTTCTATTATATCTAATGTATTAAAATTGGATTGATACATTTGGGCCTTCACATTTCATCGGAGATATGAAAATTCTTGTTTTTGTTTTATAAAGATACTACTATGCCCAAAAAGTAAGACCAATTTTCAATTCAAAGTTCCCTGTACTAAGGGAATTTCATTTTTTTCCCTTTTTTAGGCTGATGTCACTGTCCTTGACATATGTGGGAAATTTCACGTGAAAATATTCATTAGTGCTTGGCTTTGTGAGACGCTAAAACTGATTCCGGCGATTTTGAATTGTCTGAATTCATTGAGGAATGAACATGCATTATAATTTGTTTGCGGAAACGTATAGAAAGTTGCAGAAGGCATTCGGGGAGCGTTCCTATATCGGAAAGAAATGTTTAGAAGTGGTATAAACAGTTCAAAGAAGGCAGAGAACGCGTTGAAGGCGAAGAGCCCTCTGGTCGACCATCCACCACAACCGACGAAGCTCACGTCCAAAGAATTAAAGATTTGGTGCTTGCAAACCGTCGATTTACAATTAGAGACCTTGCTAATGATGTTGGAATTTCAAAAGGATCGGTCAATTCCATTTTGGGCCTCAAACGCGACAAATCTCGATTTTTACTGAAAACACTGAATGCGCCAGCTCACACTGCATTGATTCTTCTTGACTTTTCGCCAAAAATTAAACCCAACCACCGTATTCACACCGTGCGACTTCCGACTATTTTCTCAACTGAAAAGACCACTCCGGGAACACCGTTTTGAGTCGATTAAAATGATTCAACATGAATCACCTTGCGCTTTGAAGGCTGTCCTTACCGATGACTTTTTAGCATACTTCAATTAAACTGCCACATATGGCCTTGATCCATCATGGGCCAAGGCTGTGTGCCTACTGGCAGATTTCGAGACAGGGATGCTTTTCTTTTTAACGGGGTAAGCTTGTCAGCCCTACGCTGAACAGTCATATTACACTGGGACCCGCGATTTGAAGTCGATTTCAAAGCACTACAAATATCCATGGCACCACCGGGACTCGAACCCGAAACCTTTGGTACTGAGAGCCACAGCACTAGCCACTCGGCTGTCAGGCCCCGGTTAAAAGTATTAAGACGCTATTTATAGTCATTTACACTTAAGCTTAATAAATAAGCATATAAGCTAGAAATTAAAATGAAATTCTCCTTATTCTACAAATATTCTTATTTATATGCTGGAATGATATGGGTGCATATATACGTACAATGACATTTTTGAAAGAAGAATCCATGTATGTGAAGGCAGCCATGTTTGAAACAAGGCGACAGCTGTAAAGGAAATGTTGCCATAAAATTCTTCTAAAAGTAAACATTTGGTTCGTCTTTGACAAGCTTTGATTTCCTTGCAGAAAAATGTCGAACACATTCTCAATACAAAGACCTCTATTTAATCATATTTTTTTTATCGCCAAACTTTGATGTAAAAGTGTCAAATTTGTCTTTTTTTCTTTTTTAAAGTATTAAACTTGGTTTCATACTAGAATTGAATTTGAAAAAGAAAAATTTTTATTGCTATCCAACAAAATAAGTCAGAGCTTTTATATATGTTTGTTAAAAGTTTTCAAAATTAAAGCTTTAAAAATTGAAATTGCTTTGAATTTGGTTTAATCGTAATTTAGATTTTTTAATTTGATTTTGTAGAGTGCAGATTGGGAAATTGTGTGTTCAGATACTTGAAGCAAAAGTTAGAGCTTTCACAGTTTTATTTACAAACGCACCAACACCACAAACATACAATTAGAGACATACAATATGTAACACATTTAAAGACATAAAATTATAGATTCGTGAAAGTATTCCACTTCTAAGCCGAAAACCCGATATTCAGGTACGCGCAAGATGCGCGAAATATACTTTCTCACCGGGGGAGAGTCTATAGGCCAACTAATAGCAGGTGTTATCTTCTTTTTCTTTTCTCATTAATAAACACAACTTTCAGTTGATATATATATATAATATTTATTCACATTCCAAAATACTTATTGAAGCAACCGCCCGCCATCAGCAATTCCGTCGCGTTCCTTCTTCTGCAATTGCTCTTACATTCGAATCCCCGTATAAGACAACAGCCTTATATAGAGTTACAGGAGGTGGAATTATGGAAGAGTCTTGTTCGTGGCGCCATCTGTTGTCATTTATAATAGCAAATAGTTTACACAGGTTTGCGTTAAATATATTTCCTATCGGGATGAGAGGCTATACACTAAACGTTTCTC